TTAATTTTAAAAAATTGAAAAAAGTATAATCGTTGATAAACATTTGACCCCCGCATTTTTTTTTACACCGAAAAGAAAAAGATTATTCATCAAAATTTACGATTTTTTTCAAAAATTATTTAAAAAGCAAATATATAAATGTTATAATATTTCAAGAAATTTTTTCCACACATTCCAAAATTATAAAAGAAATTAATGTTCTGTATTCTTGATCATTATCGTAGATAAAACTATAGCCGAAATGAGAGCAGTAGATAAACACACTTTTGGTCAGACACGCTGAGACAGAAACTAACGCATATTCTCTATTACCTAATTCAGAATTTTTACAAATTTTTTTATTCTAATATAAAATGATTTATAATGAGATAAAAAAACTTTTTATTTTAAAAATTATTTAACAAAGGAAGAGAAAATGCTTCGATATTTCAAGAAATTTTTTTTCACACATCCCAAAGTTATAACTGTAATATAATATATAACTTATAAATGTTTTTCTTTGAGTAAATTTTCACGTTGTAAGGAATTACTTATAATAAAAATAAAAGTGCGAATAATTATAAAATAATAAAACTACATATATAGTTATATATAAAGGCTAGCTACAATCTAAATGTAAAATATCTGACAACATTACGGTATTTTTTCAGTCCTTTAAAGTCACTCACATGCTGGTAGTAGCGAGTTGATTAAAGGGCTATAGGCCGAAAGTGTCAAGTCGAGGATTCGCCGAGGAACGGTTTTCACGTACGTCACGTTCTCGGAAATTTGCCATCCAGGAAATCGCGAGGACGAGAAACCGCCATGCTCCGCATACGCTTTGATGTCCTGGCGAATAACGTAAGCTCGTGACACAAAGGCGAAAGCCCCGAGAGAAGAAGGTCTCGGCTTCAAAGAGGAAACACTTCGCGAAGAGGCGGTTTCACGCAGGAAATCGTCCGAAGATGAGACAGAAACAGTCATTCTGCGGCATATGGACCAGATATTAATTTTAGGTGCTACAGAGGTTACCGGGTGAATATTTCATCAGGATATTGTGCAAGCATATCGCTGTCAACTGGAAACATTAATTCAGATTACTCACGATCGAATCCCGATTTTAACCAGTATTATTAATGATTCATATTAGCGAATAATTACTATTGGTATGCTAAATTTGAGGTGTTAATCCCTTCATTTGTAATATGCACTGAAATATGTATCATTACCACTATGATCAATTTCACGGATTTCATATTTACATAGCTTGTGAAAAACGTACGGAAAAATAGTTTTGCTGAAGTATCTAAAAATTTAGCTAAATATACAAATCTGAAAATAATTTTATTGGACTAATAAAATAATTATATGGAAGACGCTTAAACTTGTTAAAATATCAAAACTTTTGCAGCATGTTTGCAACTTTTGCTCATCATGTTTGAGTTTCCTACATAATTATTATAGTTTAACAAAATTCTTTTCAGATCCGTATCTATTTTTAGATACTTTAGCAAAATCGTTCTTTCCGTGTAGAGACATTTCCCTCTTTAAGTAAATATTCAGCGGAGAATCAATGATACAAAATATGATAGCATTAACAAAATAAGACAAGAAAATATTCATGAGCGGATACAAGATGCGTGAATCCGCAGTGCCGGAGGTAAAAGACGCTCGGAGTTACTCGCGAAACACGGAGGAACTTCCGGTAATGAGATGGGGAAAGAGCGGATCCCGTAACGAGGAAATAAATGCTAATGGTCAGCTTGTTCCTCGGCATGCCGGGAGCGTGTCACGCTCTAACGATACCTGGAGGCTTGTACACTGATAAGACCCGTTGCCCCTGTAAGTTTACGCGCGGAATAAAGATAAGCCAATGCGTCATGGCGCCCCGCGCGCGCGTTGCGTCGCATTTGCCAATGCGGGTCGTAAGTCGGAGCACGCTGCATTTTGAAACAATCGCGATCGTTAAGTCCATTGTGCAATGTACCGTGCACACAATGATACGGTGAAAACATGAAACCGTCTGGAACGAGACGGATCTCAGAGGCATTATTAGGAGCTTCTGAATGCTAAAACGGCAGCCGCTGATCCGCCGGCGCATTTCGGTTTACTGTCACTTTTGTACTCTGTTAAATCTATAGTGTCAAATTTAACCTAACGTGAGTCGCTACTGCTCCTACTAAATATATCGTTATTTTTTATCAAAACGATAGTTAAATTTGACACTATATTGTGTCAATTTGACACTATACATATAGTGTTAAATTGATACTGTATAGTGTCAAATATAACCATTGGTTTAGTATAAAATTACGAAATGATTGAGTAGGAGCAATGGCGACTCACGTTTAGTTAAATTTTACACAGTATATCCCTACTATATTCTCTTTCGCGCGGATCACGCTTTCGAATCAGCGTCCGTGACGCATGAGGGAAGTTGATTCGTTCGAATAAAGCGGTATAAAGAACTGAACGATCAAACCCTTTTATGATCGCGCGCACGATTGAAAACGACGCAACGGCAATCGATGCGTGGTTAATAACAAATCCTGTCGTAACATTCGACTCGAAATAAAAGCGGTCCATTCTATTTCCCTTTCAATTTGTTGTTGTTCAAACATGCATAAACATTACACCGGGGTGAACGAAGGATCCGTGGCAATATTTATACGTGTTGGTAAAGTATTTCATTGTAATAAAAATACAGAAAATACTGCTTAAAAAAAGAGAAAAAAGAGGAAAGGAAGGAAAGAGAGGAGAGAGAGAGAGAGAAGTAAAAAAAAATTCGCATTAGCGGTCTATTTCGAAGTATTGCACAAATAGAAAGAGATAAATTCACACATCATCGGAAAACCTTTTCATTCTAATATTAACGTGAATTCCATACACTTTGACGTGTACGTCATTCCAAACCTGTTTCAACCCCCTGGGACGCTCTTTTGTGCATTACATGTTCCGATGTAACATCCCTGACGACTGGACTGACAATATACTAACACATTCGTCACTGTCACCCACGAGACGTCTCTTATTTCACGGCCGGAAACGACGGTAAACGGTACATAGGTAGACAGACAATCGAATGGGGAATCTCGATTTTTCTTCCAGAAACAGCTAGTAGTTATAGTCTTCTTATAGCGCGTCATTATCGTGTCACGAGTTCGTTTTTATCACTGGGACTGGTTTAATCCTTTAAGAGCCTTCTAACAAAGAAACTTAAAAAGAAGATCTTGTTTTCTAAGGGATTTTGGGGTCGCTAAATTCAATTCTGGCCTCAAAAAAGGCTAAAATTTAAATTAAAAAAAAATAATCTGATTATCATAAAAGCTCTCTCTCAATTTTAGAATTTGTTGGCATCGTTGAGTTTACTCTGAAAATGTTGAATTTCAAAAGGATATATAGTAAGCTTCAATGAAAGAGAATGTAGTGTCACAGAGCTCATAATTAGAGTTTGAAAATCAATTTAAAAGCGTAGCACTGAGCTTCAAACAAATCAAAACCGAAAACTTAATGTTATTTCGCAATTAAAAATTCCCTAAAACTGAGTTTTATGATAATCAGATTTTTTTGAATTCTATTCATCATATTTCCAACGTATTGAATTTTTTACCTCAGATTTGAATAAAACATTATCAAATTAAGCCAAATTTCATGAAAATTAAGCAAGCAATTTACAAAATAAAAAAGGATATCCAAAACAGGGTCATTCACAAAGGGATTAATCAACCGCAATATAATTCTCGCGCAATGTCTGCCGATTTTTTGTGAGAGTGGTCTTTACTTTCTTTCCTCATGGATATTCCACGAAATGTTAACGGATGTTCGGACTTATTCGAAATCGTTATGCGAAATCCGCGGTAGATATAAAAGCTAATGAATCCACTCGCAATATAATCGAAACTGCATCCACCTGTGCACTCGATGCGCTCAAAAATGCCTAAGAACGAGCCTCAAACGTGACACTGTTACCGTTTTATTTTCATCCAACGACCATCTTTAGATCTATATTTCCAGGCTGAAACAAAACGGGAGCAGATCTTTGCCAGCTGTTTGCACACGGTTGTTTCCATAAAAGTTTAATTAATTAAGCCGTTGCGTCGTATTTGATTAACGCCGTGGGATCTTCCGCGTTTCACGAAAATTGCACGAGTACACAAGTGACGATTCATCGCGTTAGCGTTGGAAGCACGCTTAATAAAAGCATCATGACATCAATGGATTAATGCAGTGAGCTGCAGTTGCGATACATTGACGCATTAGATCAGCTTAATATACCAGAGACTGCATGAGCGATGGAAAACATTGGCATTGACTAACTGTTATTTTCAATACGTAAAACATCGACGCCAATATTTATTATCACGCTAAAATGATTGATTCACATGCGATTATATGTCCCAACAGAATTGCCATTTATATTTAATGTGGTAAAGAGCTGCACGACCGAATCTACGTCAAATTTACTAAATTACGAAATTTATGTTGCACATACAATATACTAGTCAGATTTTATAAAGCGATGCACATATTTCACGATAATTAATGCCGTAAATTACAAGATAATTGCAAAGTTCAAATTACAAGGATAATAGAAGAGGATAACATGACACACGATAGAAGTGCATCTAATTAGTATTTGTCTATGTATTATTTTGAAATAAAATGAAATAAAACAATCGTCTATTGTCCATCCTGTCTGATATCATTTATGATAGCTTACGTAAGGCATTTTTCCAATATGAAATAATAAAGGAACCGAGTTAATTTTCTACGGTAATTTTTATCATGCAGCGAGATTATTAGGAGTAAGCTGGGGCATATTAAACCGAATGCCGCTTGGCAGCAGCCCGGGCGGTAGTAGAGATGTATCGCGACGTTAATTAAGACGGATGTGTGCCTGCGAGATATTAGGACCTCTTCCCATATCCTTCACGAACCACATCGTCCCAGGAAAGAGCCTTTCAGCGGAAGTAGTGGTAATACGCGGATAAAGTGACGATGTACATTGCTTTGTGGCTTACCATCGTCAGGGACGCGCCCGTCCCGCGTGCGTACTGGAATTCCTGGACACTCACCTGGAAACAAAAGAAAAAGTAGAGGGTTAAGAATGTCACATCGATGATTCAAAATGTTTATCAAGAATAAGTGATAAGTGATCGCGAGTATCATATGATGGTAAATTATTATATACTGAGAAAAATTGGTATCTAGCTACAAATTTTTACACTTTAGCAAAATATTCTTTCTATGCCTACATATTTTAATGTTTATATAAAAAGTTTTTCCCGACATACACACAACGGAAAGAGTCTGGTTGCATTAATCGGAATTCTAGTTGAAAATGAACAAACCAGAAGATTTTGATTATATAAATAATTATTCTGTTTATCTCAATTCTGTTTATCTAGAATTATAATATATTCAACCAGAAAATTATGACATATCTATTTTTAATTAATTACAATTGATACAATTAGATTCTTTTTCCAGTGTACGTCAGAAAAAAATTTAAAAACTTTTTATTTAAATGTTAGAATATCCATATATGGAAAAAACGATTTTACTACAGTATTTAAAAATTTAGCTAGATACAGATCTGAAAATAATTTTAGTAGACTATCGAAATTATGTGGAACGCTTAAGCGCTGATGACAATGCTGCAAAAAGTTTTCATATTCTAGCAATCAGTTTGAGCGTTCTACATAATTATTTTGAAAGTCCAAACAAAATCATTTTTAGACTTGTAGCTGGCTAAATTTTTAAATAAGCAAAATTCGTTTCTTTCGTGTAGAAATCAGAGATAAAAAAGTACCAGTGTACTTTTTTTAGTTCTGTATTTGATATAATTCGGATAGATAAGATCTAATTGATCACTTGATCGAATTATTGCACAAGAGCTATTGGAGAATTTTTATTTTTTTTTTCCAAGTTAATGTCGAACTTTCGTTCTTAACATACACCGAATATTGCAGGCTCATTCCAATCTTTACTCGCGTTAGTTAAAAGCTTCCTTTTTCTGCGATTTAATTCGCGGAGCAAAAGCGCGAGCTCGGAGCAGATATCGATGATGCACTTGGTGAGATTCACGGCGCGAGTTATCTCGATCGTGCCATCTGGCACACATGGTCTGAGTTCGCGAGATATCTCGGCTGCGCCACCTAATAGCCAGATTAACACGTCGACAAGCGAACCTATCGACCAAATCACACATATGGTGTATAGTTTGCTCGAATCGCATCGTAACGGATAACCTAATTTCCTGTCGCCATGCGGAAAATTTGCCTCACGTTACACGTGTTGTTTGCATGTTCATAATTCAATAATGCATATATAAATTGTATAATCTGTGTCTATATATAGTATAACACATATATACTAAGAATGTCTGGTTGGACGAGCCAGAATTGAGAAGATTCTGATATCAATAACAATTCCGATTATCTCAACTTAGAATTCTAATAGGTTTAATTAGAAAATTCTAATTCATCCATTTTCAACCAGAATTCTAATTAATGTCAACCAGACATTTTTCATGCAGGAATAATACATATTATACTTTCTCAGGAATTATTTTTGTGTTGCTGTTACACTATGCGTCAATCAATTATTATTATTATTAAAATCGCACAAGAATATCGTGGCACGGATGGTGCATCTCGTTGTACGGAGTGATGAAAAAATATCGTAAAATTATAACATTTATGTGATTGGAAAACATTTTGTAAAAATTGCACGACAGCGTAAAAAATAAATATTAAACAAATTTCAAGCTCACACGTGCGTACTATTTATAACGCTAAAAAAAAATAGCGTACGGAATTTTCTGATAGAAGCTAATAACAGAGCGAGATTTCATGGATATCATAAAGATCATCCACGTGCACGAACGATAAACGCGATAAGAAAATTCCGGGTATGTGTTACTGAAAAGGGCAACTGAAGAGAACAAGTGGGAAAGAAATCCCACTGGATGTAGTTCAAGCACGTGTTTACATAAATACCGAGGACGCGATCGATAGCGTTTTACCACCTTTGTCACGCAACTTCGACGATTGGCTGACTTTTATTCTCCACGCGAGCCTTTATGCATGCTCTTTGACACGGAATCGACAAGGCGGAACCGTGCGCTCCGATATCGGTCATTCGGAACTCGTTCTCGCAAGTGGACATGCAATTAGTAATACGAAACAGGTCTCGCAGAAATCTTTAATTATACGCGTTGCGTATTATATACATCATCACGAAGCTACCAATCGATATCGCTGATCGAGACCTTCGCGTATTAGTAAACCGTAAACGAGACTGACTGCACCAAAGCTCGTTACGCCAATTTCGATCGACTCGATCGTCTTTTTCCTACGCTGTAATTGCGGAAGTTGCGAACGTACTCTTACACGAGGGTGTGAGAAAAGGACTCCATCATGCATCTCTCGAATTTCTTCGCGAATTCCAAATACGTACGACATCACAAGAATTCCATTAATACTATTAATTATGCATTAAAAATGTACTGGCTAAATAGTCTCAGCATAAAGTGATGTAATAACTTTTGGCTTTATCAGTGTACCAGATATATAGTTTTTATAAAAAGTGACTGGAATTAATATACTTTCCATAAAAAAATAATTTTATATACATATAAAATAATTCACAATAAGATCAATATTATAATAAAACATACTTAACAATACAATTTTATATAGTTAAAATAAAATTTTTCTCACTTTATTTTAATTGTTTTTTGAAACATGTCCACTTCTTGTTGAAAAAATTTTTTACCAGGTTGTAAATCGCCGACAAATTTATTGAATTACTCTTAAATACAATATAAAAAGATTAATTTTTCCCATAATTTTTTCATTTGGTTAAAAAATATGTGTAATACATCCTTAATTGCATAAAATTAAACTATAACGCAATATTTCTGATAACTGTTATACTTTTAGGAAAGCGAGGAAGAAGATTTAATGCAGTCCAGTGCAGCAATAAGGCCTATAAGTATTTAATAATTACAATAACTTTTGAAAGACTTTCTAAACTCTTTTTAAAACTGAACATATATATATATTTATATACCTATAAATCTATCCTCTATGTTTAAGTAAATTTCATTAATTCGCCAATATAAACTTGAGGAGTGACTCCAACACCCTATCGGATTTCGGCAAACAGTACTTTTCATCCGAACAGCCTCCACCCTTGATAGACAGTCAGATGGAACTAGATACAGCCCTTACGGCACTAAAGCGTTCACATTCTCTAAGCAAGTTCCAAGAAGCAGATGGATTTAAGAGGAGAATTTGTCAAGTAATTATGACAGTGAAAAGACTATTTATCTTGTTGTATTAGCACATGGATGATGACTGCCCAAGAAGGGAACATCGATGAAATTAACGGAAGTAACCGTCGGTGTTTACGCGCAACTGAGCACGTACACGACCGAATATGTATGCGTGCATATGTATGCATGAACACCTTTGTGAGATTAAGCTCGTTGCCTGTCCGACGTGTAAGTATACGCGTAGAGCCCACGTCGATACACATGCGTGACGCGTGTAAACGTGCACCGAAAGCTGCATCCATACAAGTTACATGTATAGGCATGTTCCTATAGACGCTGTCAGCGTCCTTCCAATAATAACTATACGAGTAGCTGCATTGATAATATTAACTCAAAATACGTCGGAGGTACCATTACGTGAGTTGGAGAAGTGAAAAGGTTTCGATTAATTGAGCCTTAGCGGCACGAGCGGATAACGAAATCTTATTTTTCTGTCAATTGCAAGTGGACTATTTTCTATCAAAACTTTTAATTCGTTCAATTTCGAACGGGTTTTAATTTAACAGACTCTCAACTTCCGACTTACTCGAAGAGTATTTAATGAAAATTGAAGAGTTGCGAAACAAGCGAGGTTTTCTCTCTTATTCATCCCTTCTTTTTTATTTTTATGTTTTTTAAAGAGAGGGCAAAAACCTTCAAGATATCTTGAATACATATGTATCTCCGATCCTCGAGGGTCAACTGGGATTTTTACATCAACTAATAACTCCTTCGGTGTTCCTTGGCGTTCATCAGGACATTCAGGAAACAGCAGTGTACTATTTGGATCTCCCTCTTCATTAGGTCTGTTCTTTTTAGCTGAACTTTTGCACCAGTTCATCTTTCTTCCTTTTCTCTTCAGGAGGAAAGAAGAAGAAAGATGAACTGGTGTAAAAGTTCAGCCAAAAAGAACAGGCCTTTTGTCTCTTTCTTTCTTTCCTTCTTCCCTCCCTCCTTTCCTCTCATTCTCTTTCACTCTCTCGATTTTTTTCATTCACAAGAAAACTGCAAGAAACACATGCCAACCGCTGACGTGCATGCAGGAAGAGTTAATGTGTTTCCGTCGAGTATGTCCGTTCGCAGAAGTATGTACATACAAGCGCCTTATGATACTAATTGATAGACAGACAAGAGACGGCTGGATCAACCATAAAAGCGTGCTGGCACAGGGTGCACCCTTCCGCTTCACGATAGTCTTCGACTTCTCCTCGCTTCCGCCTACTAGCTCGCTCGACAATGGACACGCCACTAGGAAGAATGTCGGCGCATGCCTCAGCAACAATGCACGAACAATGCCGCGTAACGACTTCGGCTTTCTCTCTCTCTCTCTCTCTCTCTCTCTCACACACACCACACACATACACACACACATTTTCTGTCCCTCTTTCACAAATTGGCGCCGCGAATCACCGAGAAAGACGTCGACTCGATGCAAACTTGTTTCGGGAAGAAACGACTATTCCCAACCAACACAGTTTGATAAGCGATTCACGTCACTGCATGTTGCGTTTTCTGCAAAAATATGGAAATGTTCACCGAGACTCAAAGCGATGCCCCAGTTTTTGTCAATGGCGACCATTAATCGAGAATGTACAGACTTTTTATATCATTAAAGAAAAGTTTAAAATTGAAGAAGGTTGGTTAGTGGCGAATGCAAGAAACATGAATTTAAATAATTTTAAATATTAACGGATAATCAGATTGTAAGTATCAATCAATAAGTTGTTTTAAGTTATTATATGATAACTTATAACC